GGGCCTCCCCCAGGCGCAAAAAGCCCTCCTGGCAGAGAGAGCACCGCTTGCGTCGGGGCAAAGCGCTGCTCTTGGCGGAACAGATGAGATTTAGCTGGAAGCATTTAGCAAATGTCAAGCATTAAAGAAAGTGACTGATCTACCTCTGTTGAAACTGACCTAAAAGGCAGCACGAAAGAAGTAAGACTTACTGAGCTTGGAATTCATTCTGCTTGCTTTTAAGGTGCTTTAGCCTCTCTTTCTTTTCAGAAAACCTGGAAAAGAATAACGTGCAAGTTGAAGAAAGCACAGAAAACAAGATGCATCCTGACCGATAATGCCAGCTCTCATAGAGAAAAGGACATCAGAAGAGCCCTGCTGGATCAGACCAGGGGTCCATCTAGTCCAGCATCCTGTCTCACACTGTGATCTCACAGTTCCTCTGGAGGGCCAACAATGAGGCAGAGACACCGAGGCCTTCATAAGAACATCCGAAGAGCCCTGCTGGATCAGAACAGAGGTCCATCTAGTCCAGCATCCTGTCTCACACAGTGATCTCACAGTTCCCCTGGAGGGCCAACAACAGGGCAGAGAGGCCGAGGCCTTCATTAGAACATCAGAAGAGCCCTGCTGGATCAGACCAGTGGTCCATCCAGTCCAGCATCCTGCCTCACACAGGGGCCAGCCAGTTCCTCAGGAGGGCCAACAATGGGGCATAGAGGTCAAGGCCTTCACAAGAACATTAGAAGAGCCCTGCTGGATCAGACCAGTGGTCCATCCAGTCCAGCATCCTGCCTCACACAGGGGCCAGCCAGTTCCTCAGGAGGGCCAACAATGGGGCATAGAGGTCAAGGCCTTCACAAGAACATTAGAAGAGCCCTGCTGGATCAGACCAGTGGTCCATCTAGCCGATCATCCTGTCTGACACAGAGGCCAACCAGTTCCTCTGGAGGGCCAACAACAAGGTAGAGAGGCCAAGGCCTTCTTAAGAACATCAGAAGAGCCCTGCTGGATCAGACCAGTGGTCCATCTAGCCGATCATCCTGTCTCACACAGTGGCCAACCAGCAACAACAGGGCAGAGAGGTCGAGGCCTTCATTAGAACATCAGAAGAGCCCTGCTGGATCAGACCAGGGGTCCATCCAGTCCAGCATCCTGCCTCACACATGGGCCAGCCAATTCCTCTGGAGGGCCAACAACAGGGCAGAGAGGCTGAGGCCTTCATAAGAACATCAGAAGAGCCCTGCTGGATCAGACCAGGGGTCCATCTAGTCCAGCATCCTGTCTCACACAGTGATCTCACAGTTACTCTGGAGGGCCAACAACAGGGCAGAGAGGCTGAGGCCTTCATAAGAACATCAGAAGAGCCCTGCTGGATCAGACCAGGGGTCCATCTAGTCCAGCATCCTGTCTCACACAGTGATCTCACAGTTCCTCTGGAGGGCCAACAACAGGGCAGAGATGCCGAGGCCTTCATTAGAACATCAGGAGAGCCCTGCTGGATCAGACCAGTGGTCCATCCAGTCCAGCATCCTGCCTCACACAGGGGCCAACCAGTTCCTCTGGAGTGCCAAGAACGGGGAAGAGAGGCCGAGGCCTTCTTAAGAACATCTGAAGAGCCCTGCTGGATCAGGCCAGTGGTCCATCTAGTCCAGCCTCCCGTCTCACACAGTGACCAACCAGCAAAACATGCTGGACTAGATCTTGGCCTGCTCTGGGGAGGCATTCCTTCTTTTTTTTTTAAAGCAGTCCTTGCAGGACTGATGGACCACTGCTCTGAGCAGAAAGGAAGGAGACCCAGAGTGGCTAATAGTCTCCTTTCCCTTCCCCTCCCCACAACAGACACCCTGCGAGGTAGGCGGGGCTGAGAGAGCTCTGAGAGAACTGCTCTTGAGAGAACAGCGCTGAAGGAACTTGTGACTGACCCCAGGTCACGCCAGCAGCTGCACGCAGAGGAGTGGGGAAATCAAACCTGGTTCTCCCAGATTAGAGTCCACACTCTTAACCACTACACCATACTGGCTCTCATGGGCACCATATTGAGGACCCCTGCTGTAGGAGAACGGGTCTGGGGAACCCGCAGGTTAGAACCAGAACAGAACAATCACTGGCAGGGGAATCCAGGAGCATCAGTAGAGGCAGGGCTATTTTGGGGCAGGAACGCACAGGAACGGAGTTCCGGCTGGCTCCCAAGTTGGCCACGCCCAGCAGGAACTCATTAGCATAACAGGCCACACCCAACAGCAGAAACCTATTAGGATTGGCTACATTAGGGGTGTGTGGCCTAACATGCAAAGGGGTTCCTGCTCCAAAAAGAGCCCTGGTTGACAACGAACAAGGTAAACAGAATAAGAAGGGAAAGGTGGGTGTGGCTGGATGAGCACACTTCTGGTAACATGGGGGTGCGGCCTAATGTGCTAATGAGCTGTGCTGTCAGGGGTGTGGCCTAATATGCTAATGAGTTCCTGCTGTTGGGTGTGGCCTATTATGCTAATGAGTTCCTGCTGGGCTTTTTCTACAAAAAGAGCCCTGGAAACCGTGAAATGACGCAGAATCTGAAATCTGGATTCGGTGACGGGACTCTGACAGACGTGGGCCGAAAGGCTGAAGAGTTGACAATGCGACAGTGGAACGCGAAAGGGGAAGAACGATCACTTGGCTTTTCTTCCCCTTTGGGCTTGAGCCACCGTCCTACTAGGCATGTTTTTGTTGCACTGCTTAAACCCACTTCTAAGACACATTGCAGAAAACAAAACTATGTTTAAAAAGAACATGGAAAGTGGCAACAGTTGTGTGCTCTTTTGCGTTGCCATGGCTTACGGCAACAGTCGCCAGGCTGTAAGGAACAGACTGAACGAAAACATTAAATGCTGCTGTGTGCCCATCGGCAGAGGAGTGTGCACAATGTGCCTCTGCGTGATTTGCTGCTCTGGTTTGGTATCCTTTCGATCAAGCGCTGGGGATGTGTAATTCTACTGGGTTTCTGGTTCTGATTGGACTCAATAAATCACACCTGTCTGATTCAGAGGCACAACCAAATCACTGGTCTTCGCAGGAGGCTGCCCACTGCATCTCTGCGTGAGTCCCAGCCCTGGGCTTCCCTTCAGGAGACCCATTCAGAACAGTTAAGTCTGAGTCTCAAAAAAAAAAAAAAGTCTGAGTCTCGTAGCACCTTAGAGAGCCAGTTTGGTGTCGTGGTTAAGTGTGTGGACTCTAATCTGGGAGAACCGGGTTTGATTCCCCACTCCTCCACTTGCGCCTGCTGATGTGACCTTGGGTCAGTCACAAGCTCTGGCACAGCTGTCCTTGAAAAAGAGCAGTTTGTGTCACTCAGCCCCACCCACCTCACAGGGTGTCTGTTGTGGGGAGGGGAAGGGAAAGGAGTTTGTAAGCCGCTCTGAGACTCCAAGTGAAGGGCGGGGTATAAATCCAATCTCTTCTTCTCTTCTTCTTCTTCTTAGAGACCGACAAGCAAGGCGCTACTAGACTAAAAACTAACTGTTCCATTGCAGGACAACAGGGCTTCCCTCTGAATCCGTTCAGAACTCAGTGCTCAGTTCTCGCGGCCCTTTCTTGCACGACCAGGGAAATGCTGATCACCACTTTGGGGTCAGGAAGCAATTTTCCCCCAGGCCAGTTTGGCCAGACGTCCTGGAGGTTTTTTGTCACTTTCCGAGCATGGAACGGGGGTCACTGGGGGGGGGGGGTGGGCGGAGGTATTTCCAAACGTCCTGCATCGTGCAGGGGGTTCGACTACACGACCCTGGAGGTCCCTTCCAACTCTATGATCCTATGCAGGATGAGTAACTCTCCCTGTGACACATCATAAGCTTAATCCTTCAGGGCCAGAGGTCATTTCGGGGGGGATCGCAGTTCCCCCGGGTGAGGTACGGGGGGCAGGGCACATGACGAAGCCCCGCCCCCTGCTTCCGGCTGCCCCGCTTCTGGCCCTCATTCAGCCAGGAGGAGGCAGGAGAAGAGGGAGGGTAAGTTGCTTCCTCCCTGCCTCTCCCCACTCCTTGCACTCCTGCCGGCTTTGCAGGTCCACCGCCGGGCCCCTCATGGCAGTGGAGCTGCAAGGCCGGCGGCGGCGTCCAGGACTGTTGGGGGCGGGGTGTGTGGCCTTATGACACACTTCCGGTGATGTCAGGGGGTGTGGCCTTATGACACACTACCAGTGATGTCAGGGGGTGTGGCATATGCTAATGAGTTCTGCTAATGAGTTCCCCTAGCTCTTTTTCTACGAAACGACCCCTGTTCAGGGCTATTGTAGAAAAGTTTTCCTTCAGTGACAGAAGCGTGACTCGGGTTTCAGACAGCGTTCGGGGGGGGGGGGATGACATCACAAAAGGGAGCGCTGGAAGGAGGCCAGAAGTGGTCATCAATCAACGGCGCACACATGCGATGCCAATTGCTGAGTACAGCTGTTTACTCATTTCTGAAGCGTAAGACCATCTCGTGGCTCCGTCTCATGACTCAGTCCCAGGACCTCTCCCTCGGGGACCGCCCGACTGCTGAGTCTTGTCCGACTGAACACAACGTGGACCCTGCAGGAGATGCCGAAGGTGGCCGGATCGGGAAAAATGCAGCGTAACGGCTCCTGTACGTGCGCTGCTCGTCTTTTGTAAAAATACCCAAACCAACAAAGTTGGGAGTCCAGTGGCATCTTTAAGACCCACAAAGTTTAATTCTGGGTATAAGCTTTCGTGTGCATGCGCGAGAGCCAGTCTGGTGTAGTGATTAGGAGCACGGACTCCAATCTGGGAGAACCGGATTTGATCCCCCACTCCTCCACGTGCAGCTGCTGGTGTGACCTTGGGTCAGTCACAAGTTCTCTCGGAGCTGTTCTCTCAGGGGCAGTTGTTGAAAGAGGTCTCTCCGCCCCACCTGCCTCACAGGGTGCCTGTTGTGGGGAGGGGAAGGGAAAAGAGAGAAGAAGAGGAGATTGGATTTATACCCCGCCCGTCACTACCCAAAAGTGGCTCAGAGTGGCTTACAATCTCCTCTCCCTTCCCCTACCCACAACAGACACCCTGTGAGGTAGGTGGGGCTGAGAGAGCTCTGACAGGAACTGCTCTTTTTCCAGAACAGCTCTGAGAGAACTGTGGCTTGCCCAAGGTCATCCACCCAGGTGCAAGTGGAGGAGTGGGGAATCAAACCTGGTTCTCCCAGATTAGAATCCGCGTACTTAACCACAACACCAGACTGGTGTAAGCCGCTCTGAGACTCCATTCGGGTTGTGAAGGGTGGGGTATAAATCCAATCTCATCCTCTTCTTCTAAATGGTGACGCCGGACTCAAACTTTGCTCTCCAGCTTCAGACCAACACGGCCACCCCGCCTGCATCTACCCAAGCCAGCCGTCACAGAAACCGACACACACGAGGCAGCGAGTTTCTGTTTACCAGAGGAGGTCACACCTCAACAGAGGCTCATTTAACAGCAGGAGAGTTGAAACCATTTTTTTTTTAAAAAGCTGGTCCGCATGACCTTCCTTGGCATGCAACGGTTATGTGACAGGGAGCAAAGAGCAATATCCAATTAATTTTTTAAAGGCTCTTCTCCAGCCTCCAAGCTGAGCTTACATAAAACTGCAGAGAGGTCCCCCCCCCCACGGCATCAGACCCCACTTCTCGTGGTGGTGGAAAGTGCCTTCAAGTGACAGACCACTCACGGCAAAAAAAAAAACCCCGTAGGGTTTTCAAGGCAAGAGGCGTGCAGAGGTGGTTTGCCTTTGCCTGCATTTATGTAGCAACCCCGGACTCCCTTGGCGGTCTCCCATCCAAGCACTAACCAGGGCCGACCCTGCTTAGCTTCGGAGATCTGACGAGATCCAGCCAGACTGGGCCATCCAGACCAGGGCAGGAGGTAGAAATAGAAATGTGAAGGCCCGGAAAAAAACTGGAAAAATTAGGGGGGGGGAACCCGTTTTTTTCCTGAAGCCTTTTTTGTTTTTTTCTGAAAAATTAGAAAAAATGAAAAAAGAAAAGAAGAAGAGATTGGATTTATACCCCGCCCTTCACTTGGAGTCTCAGAGCGGCTTACAAACTCCTCTCCCTTCCCCTCCCCACAACAGACACCCTGTGAGGTGGGTGGGGCTGAGAGAACTCTGACACAAACTGCTCTTTTTCAAGGACAGCTGTGCCAGAGCTTGTGACTGACCCAAGGTCACATCAGCAGGTGCAAGTGGAGGAGTGGGGAATCAAACCCGGTTCTCCCAGATTAGAGTCCGCGCACTTAACCACTACACCAAACTGGCTCTCAGAAAGAAAATTGATCATGGAACGTTTTATTTTAACATGTGAATAAAAACATTTTAAGACAAGGTGTTCAAATATTTTCCAAATCATTTCTAAATATATATATAATGGTATCAGATTGATCTAATTTCTGTGCACTGAGGATAAGCAAGTCCTAGGTTACAAACTGAACTCTCCAATGCAAGAACAAGATGCATTTCTTCCTTTAGGAGGTGCGATTGTCACGAGAAAAGAAAAAGGTTTCAGTTTTGTTTTTGCATGTGGGTGGGTATTCTGTTTTGTAATAACTGTTTGGATACACTGTATTTTTAATATGCTAGTTGTGGTCATTTCATGCCAAGTAAAAATGTCCATAGTCATATTTTATGTTCCTAAAGTAACAGAATGACTTTCAATCTGGAAAAGACAAAAGAAGTGCTAATATAGCATTTTTTCCCCAAAAAAACTGGGGGAAAAACAGGGTTCTCCCAGATTAGAGTCCCCGCACTTAACCACTACACCAAACTGAGTACCAGAAAAAGATCTGCTTCTGCTTCATTGACTACGCTAAAGCCTTTGATTGTGTGGATCACAACAAACTATGGCAAGTCCTTAAAGAGATGGTAGTACCAGACCACCTCACATGTCTCCTGAGAAACCTGTATATGGGTCAAGAAGCGACAGTGAAAACAGGATATGGAACAACTGATTGGCTTAGCATAGGAAAAGGAGTACGACAAGGATGTATATTGTCACCTTGCTTATTTAATTTGCATGCAGAGTACCTCATGCGAAATGCCGGCCTGGATGAGTCAGAAGCCGGAATTAAGATTGCTGGGGAAAACCATCAACAACCTCAGATATGCAGACGATACCACTCTAATGGCAGAAAGTGAAGAGGACCTAAAGAGCCTCTTGCTCAGGATAAAAGAGGAGAGCGCAAAGGTTGGCTTGAAACTCAACATCAAAAAAACTAAGATCATGGCATCCGGCCCCATCACTCCTTGGCAAATAAAAGGGGAAGTCGTGGAAGCAGTGACAGACTTCACGTTCCTGGGATCCAAGATCACTGCAGATGATGACAGCAGCCATGAAATTAAAAGACACCTGCTCCTTGGGAGGAAAGCGATGGCAGACCTAGACAGCATAATAAAAAGCAGAGACATCACCCTGCCAACAAAAGTCCGTATGGTCAAAGCGATGGTATTCCCAGTAGTAATATATGGCTGTGAGAGTTGGACCATAAGGAAGGCCAAACGCCAAAGAATAGATGCTTTCAAATTATGGTGCTGGAGAAGACTCTTGAGGGTCCCTTGGATGGCAAGGAGATCCAATCAGTCAATCCTAAAGGAAATCAACCCTGACTGTTCCCTGGAAGGCCAGAGACTGAAGCTGAAGCTCAAATACTTTGGCCACCAAACGAGAAGGGAGCCCTCACTGGAGAAGACCCTGATGCTGGGAAAGATTGAAGGTCAAAGAAGAAGGGGACGGCAAAGGATGAGATGGTTAGACAGTGTTATCGAGGCCACGAACATGAAATTAAGCAAACTCCGGAGCACGGCGGAAGACGGGAGAGCCTGGCGTGATGTGGTCCATGGGGGCGCGAAGAGTCGGACTGTGCGACTGAACAACAACAACAAGGGTTTTCAAGACCAGAGATAGAATCATAGAGTTGGAAAGGACCTCCAGGGTCATCTAGTCCAACCCCCTGCACAATGCAGGAAATCCACAAATACCTCCCAGGTACACACACACCCAGTGACCCCTGTTCCATGCCCAGATGACAAAAACCTTCCAGGATCTCCAGCCAAACTGGCCTGGAGAAAAATGGCTT